TCTAGAGAAGTGATGATAGAGCTCATATGCTTATCTTTGTGAAGTGTGGATACAGCTTGTATGCTTATCTGTGGATATTGTTGTTATACATATCTGTTGAGAATGTGGATAGAGCTTATATGCTTATCTTTGTAGAATGTGGATATAGCTTATATGCTTATCTGTAGATATTGTTGTTATACATCTCTGTTGTAGAATGTGGATATAGCTTATATGCTTATCTGTGAATGTGGATATTGTAGTTATACATATCTGTTGTTGCATGTGGATATAGCTTATATGCTTATCTGTGAATGTGGATATTGTAGTTATACATATCTGTTGTTGCATGTGGATATAGCTTATATGCTTATCTGTGAATGTGGATATTGTAGTTATACATATCTGTTGTTGCATGTGGATATAGCTTATATGCTTATCTGTGAATGTGGATATTGTAGTTATACATATCTGTTGTTGCATGTGGATATAGCTTATATGCTTATCTGTGAATGTGGATATTGTAGTTATACATATCTGTTGTTGCATGTGGATATAGCTTATATGCTTATCTGTGAATGTGGATATTGTAGTTATACATATCTGTTGTTGCATGTGGATATAGCTTATATGCTTATCTGTGAATGTGGATATTGTAGTTATACATATCTGTTGTTGCATGTGGATATAGCTTATATGCTTATCTGTGAATGTGGATATTGTAGTTATACATATCTGTTGTTGCATGTGGATATAGCTTATATGCTTATCTGTGAATGTGGATATTGTAGTTATACATATCTGTTGTTGCATGTGGATATAGCTTATATGCTTATCTGTGAATGTGGATATTGTAGTTATACATATCTGTTGTTGCATGTGGATATAGCTTATATGCTTATCTGTGAATGTGGATATTGTAGTTATACATATCTGTTGTTGCATGTGGATATAGCTTATATGCTTATCTGTGAATGTGGATATTGTAGTTATACATATCTGTTGTTGCATGTGGATATAGCTTATATGCTTATCTGTGAATGTGGATATTGTAGTTATACATATCTGTTGTTAAGTGTGGATATACCTTATATGCTTATCTGTGAATGTGGATATTGTAGTTATACATATCTGTTGTTGCATGTGGATATAGCTTATATGCTTATCTGTGAATGTGGATATTGTCGTTATACATATCTGTTGAGAATGTGGGTAGAGCTTATATGCCTATCTGTTAAAAAAAAAAGGGAAAATGAAAGGTAACTTGGACTCATAAGTCGTATGACATAAATATGTGATTTATGTGAATGTATCAGTGTTGGCCATCTATCAATTGCTAATATTTTAGTCATTGTTCATGGTTGGTTTAGTGTATTTCTACTGGGCTGTGGCTCACCCTATATGGGAATATCATTTTCAGATACAGGAAGCATGCCACCTCCAAGGACATAGCTTGGGAGGCTAGAGGCGGATATACTTTTGTCGTATTACTTTTGATGTATTACATGTAAATTCAAGCCAAGGGCTTAACGTGTATGAGTTAGTACTCTTTTGTTGTAACCAAGTGTTAACTTGGAAAGCTGTAAGCCCGTAGGGCATTTTGCTTTTGTTGTTAACATGTAATACTTTTGTAACGAAACACTGATGAATAGAAGAATGTGGTTATTTCATATGTTAATGAATGTCTTATTTGATGGGTTTAATGTTATTATTTTGGGGGCGTTACATTCCTATTGTTATTGTTTGCTGTTGTTATGTTTTTTTCTTTTTCTTCTTTCAGTTTATCAATATTTAGCACATTTTACTATATTTTTTCTCTCTAATTTCTCCATTTATTCTTTTTTATTTTTTATTTTTGACAATATTTTTAGACATTTTGGTGAGTCTCTAACGATATTCTTGACGTCCAACGAATATTCTGGATATTCCGGCGACTTCTAGTGACGTTTAGAACATTCCTGCGATACTTCGACGGCTTCCTGGTGATGTTAAACATTCTGGCGAATCTCTAGTGACTGTCTAATGGAAGTTTGGCATTGGTGAAATGTAACAACGTTTTTAAATTTATATATAAATTTTTTTTTAATAACAATTAAAAATATATATGACTAATTGATATGAGTGTTTTGTTTTGGGATTAAATAAATTTTAAATTTTGTGTATAAGATTTACTGATAAATATTCCATAAAAAGAATATGCATGAAGGGCCTATGTTAAAAGTTCACTTTGAATCGCAAAAAAGTCAAAGCCGACCCAAGTGCAACCCGTTTTGCCATGGAAGAACTTGGCAATTTTGAAGAGTTTCTCTAGACGATTGCTTCATTGCAGTTGTATCCTACTCTTTATCCCCTTTTTGTTTTGGTAGTTTTCGCATGATTTCAAAAGTTCTCAATAATATCAACAATCAAAATTATTACCATTGTTATTGATCAATTTTGTAAATCTTACTTTCCTTTTGTTCTAAATCAAAATTAGAACCAACTCAATTAGTTGGTCACCCATCTTCCTATCCAAAAAGTCGAGGTTTAATTCTTATTCGAGATTAAAAACATTATTATTTTTTATTGTAAGAGTTATATTGAATTGTTTATTTCTACCTATTAATGGATCATTTTTTATAGTGATTGTTAAGTTTGTAATTTAAATTGAGGCTTTATTTCGAACTCATAACGATGGTCTGATAATCCAAACTATCAATTACACAAGTTTAACACTAAAATAAACTTGACACCTAAGCAAAGTATATTTTACTTTTTAACATAAATAACATTTATGTGAGTTTAAATTTAAATTATTTATTTTATAAGATAAAATGAAATAGATTGTTGAAATCATCACAATTGGACCTACTTGTGCACTTGCTCGGGGCTTTTCCCAAATTAAGCCAAATTAGTGACTTATTTCCCAAACTAGGCCTAGTTTGGACGAAATTCCCAAACTAGGCTAAAACGCTATTACAAACCACGCTTTCACTGTTTTCAGGCCCCTCCTGTGAAAAATTTGTGAAATAGTAAAAGCGTGGTTACAAACCACGCTTTTAATTAAGAAGACGTGGTTACAAACCACGCTTTTAAGTTAATCATCACACTTTTGTTTATGAGTGTGTGTGTTTGGTGCAGCATTGAAAGCGTGGTTTCTAACCACGCTTTCTTCATAACACAGTGAAAGCGTGGTTAGAAACCACGTTTTCTGAAAAAAAAAATAAAAAAATACTTAAAAGCGTGGTTCCTATCAACGCTTTCTTAATTAAAAGCGTGGTTAAACCACGCTTTTATGATTTTACAAATTTTCTACGGGAGGACCACAAAAACGGTAAAAGCGTGGTTTGTAACCATGTTTTAGCCTAGTTTAGGAATTCTGTCCGAACTAGGCCTACTTTGGAAAATAAATTGCTATTTTGGCTTAGTTTGGAAAAAGTCCCTAGAAGGCTGGTTCAACAAGTACAAAGGAATGGTAAACATTCAAATCTCATTTTGATCCTTTTTTTTTTTAGGCAAATTACAAAAAAAACTCCAAGATTTCGCGTATTTTTTAATTTAAACGCCAATGTTTCAATTTTGATAAATTAAACCCTGGAGTTTTTTCTTTGTTTCAATCTGAACCCTCCGTCTATATCCGTTTGATTGAACTAATGGAATTTGTGCAAAATTCTCAGATTCAAACACACATGTTCAAACACACATGTTCAAACACTTGTATCTCCCTCGTCACAACTCTGTTGCGCCTCATTTTTGCGTCGTTGGATTTACCTTATTGCCTAGTTTTCATTCCACTCTCATACACCTTGTTCCAACTCTTTTTGTGTGCCGTTGGAACTCCGAAAGTTGGCAAAAAATAATATTTTTTTCTCTTTGGGCAAAATTTTCAGATTCAATCACACATGTTCAAGCATTTGTATCTCCTTCGTCGTAACTCCGTTTCGCCTCATTTTTGCGTCGTTGGATTCACCTCATGGCCCAGTTTTCATTCCACCCATTGTATGCCTTGTTCCACCTCTTTTTGCTTGTTGTCGGAGCTCCAAAAGTTGGCCAAAAATAAGATCTCTCTCTCTCTCTTCCCCTCTTTCTTTCTTTGTCTATCTTATATCTCCATACTTCTTCTTTCCTCGTTCCTTTCCACAATTATTTTCTTTTTTTCTCTTCTTTCATGGCCCTTCCCTTACTCTTATGTTTCTTTCTGTTCTTGTAAGTCACATACATTCATACTCGACGACACCGCCACTAACACCGCTACCGCCACCGCCACCGTTGGAGGTTCGGTGGCCACCACGAGCTCAGTGGAAGGGCCATGAAAAAAAAGGAAAAAAGTGATTAATTGTGGAAAGAGTAGGAATGAAGAAGCATGGAGATAGAAGATAGAGGAAGGGGGAAAAAAAGAGAGAATTTTTATTTTTGGCCAAATTTTGAAGCTTTGACCACATGCAAAAAGAGGTGGAATAAGGCGCATGAGGGGTGAAATGAAAACTAGGCCATGAGGTAAATCCAACGACCTAAAAATGAGACAAAACGAGTTACGACGAAGGAGATACAAGTGTTTGGACATGTGTGTTTGAATCTGAAAAATTTGCCTAAAGAGAGAAGTATCTTATTTTTTGCCAACTTTCAGAGTTCCAACGACACACAAAAAGAGGTGAAACAAGGCGAGTGAGGGGTGGAATAAAAATTAGGTAATGAGGTGAATCCAACGATGCAAAAATGAAGTGAAACGAAGTTACGACGAAGGAGATACAAGTCTTCGAACATGTGTGTTTGAATCTTAGAATTTTGCCCAGATTTCGTTAGTTCTATCAAATGGATATGGACGGAGGGTTCAGGTTGAAACATTGAAGAAATTCCATGGTTTAATTTGTCAAAATTGAAACCTTGGGGTTTAAATTGAAAAACACGCGAAATCCTGAGATTTTTTTTTTTTGCAATTTGCCCTTTCAGTTTTGTTTTCATCGTTACCTTTTAATCTAAAAGACAGAAGCAAATGTTTTTGTATAAAATATAGTTACCGTCCATTTTGAAAAAGCAACAGGTAAAAACTCGCATTACTAACAAATTGCAAATACAATTGCAGAATGCATAACCAAATATAAAGGACCACAACAAACCTGATCAAGTGCAGAAGCAAAAAGGTCTAAGACATGACCCTGGCTGACCAGCTGCTTTGCAAGTTCCTCATAAAATTGAACTGCTTTTTTAAAATATGGAGCTGCATCCTTATCGAGATCTTTATGGGAACGCACTGGATCCGACATATCTTTTGATACAATCTGCTTAGGAAGGGAAAATAATAAACAAGTAAATAAGATATCAACTCTTGATGAACATTAAAAAGTAAAAAAGCTAATATAACATAACCAAGCAGAAAAGCATTTAAAAAATAACTTTTTTCATTTTTTCTAAATGAAATTTACAAATTCTATGTTTGAGTTTGACTGATACTAGTGATGGCAATCCAATCATAACTTCCATTTACCCTTCTTTCTTTCTCTTTTTTGAGGGCAAAGGTGGAATAGAATGTTGCGATGAACTAGTATCACTACGTAGAATAAACATTTAAGAAACAGTAAACTAAGTGATCTAATAAATGGTAGCATTTTCATCACACCAGTTCTTCGCTCACTTGCACATGTAACAAAAGAATCAGAGCACTTACCGCACCCGGCCCTTCCGTGCATGGACCGCCCACCAAACCTACAATTCTAGCAGGAGTGCCAGCTGAACAAGCTCCAAGCAAACCCGCCGCAATGCTCAATGCCACTCCCGTGCACCTAAATGCCCGATTACCGGGTGGCACAGGCCACTGATCTGTACCTAACTCATCCAAAAGCTGAAATTCACAAAAAATATCAATCACATTTCAGAAAATCAACCCATTTATCAAGTCACAAAATTGAATACAAGGACTAAACCATCTAACCGAATTTAGCATGTATTCACATTCCGAAGCCGGCAACAAAAACTTCGTAACCCCCGAAACCGCCAATCCCCCCTTCTGAATCCCAGGACCAGTCCTCCGACCAGCCAATCCGAGCCCCAATTGATCCAAAACCTGATCTTTCGACAATTCCTTCGAACCCCGAAACACATAAACCTTGGACATATCCGAAAAACCCAATTCATGAACCTGAACCTGAGTCCCAAACGAAACAAACCCAACAAGCGAATTGTCCGGTAACAACCCGATCGCTTGTTTCAATGCCGATTTCGCAAAACCCAATTCCTCCTCGATCACACAAGTATCAAGCACGAACACGAACACCGGAGGCTGAGAAGTTGAATAAGGGCCAGCGGGGAGAGAGTAGTCGATGGAGGTGTATTGGGGGTAGAGTTCGGCGGGGACATTGGTGTCGGAAATGGCGGAGTAGTGGTGGGGGAAGTGGTTGCGTTGGAAGCAGAAGGGGCAGATCCAGATTAAGGCGGCAAAGTCGACGCGGGAGAAGGGGTTGAGGACGGCGGAGCAGGTTTTGCAGCGGAGGGGGGAGTAGGGCAGAGTGGGGACGTCGGGGTGGGGGCGGATCGGGGAGATTGAGGCGGCGATTGGGATGACGCACTTGCTGGATTCGACTTTGGTGCGAGGCCAGGCGTTCCAGGTCATGCGTACTCCGTCGATTCCTTCTGGATCTGTCTGTGCCATCTCCGACATCTTTTTGATTCTGGGTTTTTCTGGGTATCGGTTTTGGTTTCTGGGTTTTCAATTTCAGAGAGACAGAGAGGACGACCCCTTGAGGAAGGAGAGATGGGGTGAAGGGGTCACCGAAACAAAAGACGGAGAGGAATTGAAGACTGAGGAATAATGGGCACAGCACAACATAGAGGAGAGAGAGCGACAGAGATATATTTACGGACGTTACTATGAAGTAATTGCTTGCCAATGGGGAATTTTTGTTTTTAACAAATTTTATTTATTGGTATTTTATGAAGCACAATTCAATAATGAATCATTTGTTTGTAAATAAAAATAAATAAATATCCCTTGTTCTAAATTGATAAAAGCAAAAAAATAACTACCTCAAAGGGAAATGCACGTGTATTGATTTAGATATGTTAGAGCATCTCCAATGCACTAGGCATATAATACTTGTTAGGTAAAATGCCTAGTATGATTCATTTTTTTCAATTCCAATGCACTAGGCATATGATTAGGCATTTTGGCTCAACTCATATTCACTAGCTACATGTAGCTAGCCTTCAACAAACGAGAGAGATAATAAAAACACAACAAGACCTGAACTCCATCATGGGCAATCCAGAGTGTGGTGACAGGGAAATTGCAGAACGTTCTGTGCACTCGAAAGTACGAAACATCCCTCGTTTCCCATGCTTGGGTAACTCTAG